GATATGTCTCTCTAGAGGCCTTTAAACATCTGATTCCATTAGCTACGCTTTCATTGACCTCTACAAAGGGGTCTTTTTAGGACCTCCAATTTTGGGTTTTCAAACTAGCCCAGCATAGAAATCAAAGAATGCACAATCAAATAAACTACAATCAAAGGAGCTTTCAGAAAGAGCTACTTTTTAAACTCTAGACCTGACATTCAATCATTCACAAAATTTGCCTTCTAGACCAGTGGTTCTCAATTTTTTTATATCGGTGACCCCGGTCATAAGGAGGCGGTGCGCATGCGTGGTGCCGCCCCCTGTGCGGCACGCATGCGCAGCACTGCCCCCATGCGCCGCCCCATGTGCAGCACGCATGCGCGGTGGCGCCCCCTGTGCAGCACACATGCGTGGCGGCGCCTCCTGCGCCGGCTGAAGAAAAAAAATGGCGGTCATGTTGTTTGGCGACCCCCGTAAAATGGTCGATCGACCCCAAATGGGGTCGCGACCCACAGGTTGAGAACCGCTGTTCTAGACGAAGTTCGGCTGATTAATCTACTGATTCAAATTGCAACTCTCCTATAAATATATCTCTCTGTTTACCCATGTAGTTCTTCCCAGAAGAAAAAAAAAATCCTAATTAGCTATTGCATCCCCTGTACCTGTTACACGGCGACCTTTCTTTTTAAAATATACCATCTTTCTCTATCCATATCTCACAAAAAAAGAAAAAAATAAGAAAAGCAAAAAATAAAACACCAAGTGCAATAAATAGGAAATTTACAGGTATCCTAATTATCCTGTGGTAAGATGAGTGGCTAATAAATAAAATAAATAAATAAAAGCATCCTAGAATCGGGTTTTTTTTTTTAAATAGATTAAAGCAACTGAATGTACTGAAACATTTTAAAAAAACCACAAATCTTTAAAACTCATGAATACTGACAACAACATTCAGCAGTACAGTATATATCATAAAATGAGATTTACATGAGAATTACAGTAATTTCTATCCAAGCTTTTAAAGACTTTGCTACAAAAAAAAAAAATCAAATTTCAGAAGCGGTACCAGCCTGTAGAAAGTTATAAATAGTTCTGGAATTGAATTAAAGTCTGTGTTGGATTTTCTTTGGAAATACAGTATGATGGGATTTTTTAAAAAAATAATTTTATGATTTGTTTGACCCCCCCCCAGCGTCACTTGTTGAGGTGAGTGGCCACAAAAACTGAGTAAATAATTAAATAAACCACTTTAGAAGAGAGAGGTAAGAGGTGAAGTATGAAGTCTGCCATGAGTTTCCATATTTAGGGGTAATAAAATCTTGCCTGGAACTCAGAGGCTAACTACAGTAGATGTAAATATTATGTCAATGGTCTCTCAGTAAACAAAGGTTATAAAGTAGGGCAGGCATAAATAGCTTTCTACTTCATTCTTCACCCAGGCCAGCACTCTTACATACAGTACTAGCTCAATGCTGTTTTCTGTAGAAGAAAGAGAAACTGAGGGTGGAGTCAAAAGAAGGATCAGCCTAGAATAGTGGTGGCGAACCTATGGCACGGGTGCCAGAGGCGGCACTCAGAGCCCTCTCTGTGGGCACACGCGCCATCGCCCCAGTCCTAGGCCTTCAGCTGGGTTTTATAAAACCTTTTTGCTTTAGGTCTCTGCCGCCGTGTGCAAAAAAAAAAAAAAGGTTCAATCAGTCAATTTCAACTTCTTGCGGGGAAAAAAAAGATCTTGCAAAGTTGGAATTGATTGACTGAACTTTTTAGTCCCATCCAGTCTGCCGTTATCACTGCAGTCACGCCCACCCAATGGACCACACCCACCCAATTGGCCACACCCAGCCACAGCCACCCAGCACCCGACGATGCATAAGTGGGTTTTGGGTTGCAGTTTGGGCACTCGGTCTCTAACAGGTTCGCCATCACTGACCTAGAATCTCTACATAGTCACAAGTGGACTAAGTCTACCCCTCTCTTGAATTCCGCTGGCCCTAGCATCAATTTAGTGCTGACCATTAATTGAGAAGTTTCCCATGCACAGGCATGATTAGCAATAAATCAGTTTAATTGGATAAATCAGTTTAATCTGTTCACACGCTGACCTGATCTTTCACAGGGGATGTTTTCAGAATGCAAAGACATCTTTTTGCCAAAATAAAAAAATAAAGAAGTTTGTACTCGGATAACAACTGACATAACTTTGAAACATACACCATTCTGTCCTCTATCTGGATCTTTATTCTGCATGAGACTATTCTTTGTCTACCAGTACATTTTCAGACTGAATTCCCTTGGAAGCCACTGATATAAATCTGGGACAAGTTTGAACTGGTCAATCCTGGCTAAGTAGAAGTCCTCACAGCTGTGAGTTTGGCCACCTGAGTTCTGGCCTCCAGGAGGTGGCATATGATTGGGTTCATGCAGTAGTCAATGACTCTTTGAAGCATCATGGAGGGTCACGTGATCACCATTTGCGACCATTTGCCAGCCAGCTTCTGACAAGCAAAGTCAAAGGAGAAAGCCGCATTCACTTAACAACTGAACGATCCACTTAACAGCTGCAGTGATTTGCTTAACAATCATGGCAAAAAGGTCATAACACTGGGTGTGGCTCACTTAACTGCCTTGCTTAGCAATGGAAATTCTGGCCCTAATTGCGGTTGTTAAGTCAAGGACTAACGGTAAAGGACTCCTCTCTTTTCTGGTCCCATGCTCTTCTGGTTAGTCAAGGCCTGCTAGGAAGTGGCCTAGGGTTGTGTCCATGCAGTTGTTAATGACTCTTTGTGGCAGGGGAGTGGTGTCATCTGTCTTGAAACCATTCTTGGACCCAACAGAATTGCACAACTTTAAAAACAATGGTCAGATAAGAAGCGCCTGAGTCCAGGCCAAGAAAATAACGAGAAAATAGCAATAGCACTTAGACCAGTGGTTCTCAACCTTTTTAATGCTGTGACCCCAACCGGTCATAAGTCGAGGAGTATCCAACCAGTCGTAAGTCGAGGACTACCCAACCGGTTGTAAGTCGAGGACTTTCCCTGCCCGGGAGCACCGTGCATGCGTGGTGCCGCCCCCTGCGCTGGCCAAGGTGTAGCTGGCAAGCGGCAGAGACGGCACAGGGCAACTCTATTCAAGAGACTCTATTCTATTGGCTTTCAAAAGCCAACAGAATAAAAGGGAGTAGCACAGCCAAGGAAAAGGGGGAAAAATGGCGGACTGCGTTGTTTGGCGACCCCGTGAAATGGTCGTTCGACCCCAAATGGGGTCCCGACCCACAGGTTGAGAACCACTGACTTAGACTTATACACCACTTCACAGTGCTTTACGGCCCTCTCCAAGCAGTTTACAGAGTCAGCATATTACCCCTCAACAATCTGGGTCCTCATTTTACCGACCTTGGAAGGATGGAAAGCTGAGTCAACCTTGAGCCAGTCAGGATCAAACTGCCGAGCTGCTGGCAGTCGGCCGTCAGCAGAAATAGCCTGCAGTACTGCATTCTAACCACTGCGCCACCTCAGCTCATGTCACCCATCCCCAGTTCTTATGAAGATGAAGTAAGGGAGGAGGCAGTGCATTCAGACTCAAAAGCTTCTCTTACTACCAAGTATAACACCAACTTACATGGTACTGCTTTCTCAGTGCAATGGTTTGACTAGTCGGCCATGTTTTTAATCTCCAGTTTGGAATTTCTGGATTGGAGATATTATAGCCCTTTTGCAGATAGGAGTATATTTATATTTCTTGCCATCCCCGTCTCCCAGCCACCGGATAAGAGATGCCGAGAGATGTACCAGTGCCATAAGTACAAGTAAGTCCTCGACTTACAACCATCTGTTTAGTGACCATTCTAAAGTTACAACAGCATTGAAAAAATTAACTGTCCATGTCTGTTTTTCACAAATATGACCACTGCTGCATTGTGTTCATATAATCAAAGTTGGCAACTGGTTCATATTTATGACGGTTGCAGTGTCCCAGGGTCATGTGGTCACTTTTGGTGACCTTCTGATAAGTCAGTGGGAAAGCCAGATTCACTTAACAACCGCGTTACTAACTTAACAACTGCAGTGATTCACTTAACAACTGTGGCATGAATGGTCATAAAATGGGGCAAAGCTCACTTAACAACTGTCTTGCTTTTCAATGGAAGTGTTGGGCTCAGTTGTGGTTGTAAGTTGAGGACTACCTATATTTCACTTAAGTAGAAGGACTGAATGTTTGGCCCAATTTTTTTTTCCTTTGGTGTGCATTTTGCTAGCTTCTGTTACAATAAGTTTGCTAACCTCATTAGAAACTTACTGCCTCTATTGTATTCAATAAGCTGTCAAAATTGGCAGAAATTCATGCTGTTATTCAATATCTGGATATCCAATTTCCGCGATGCGGTCTTGGGCCTGCAGAGAGTTGCATACCATTTCCTCCTGCATCAGCTTAACATTTGGACAGTTATTGTGACATTGCATAACAACACAGCATTTAATTTTAAAATCTTGGAAGTTCCAAAAATAGAAATCTGCCTTGAGCTTTGCAAAAATCTTTCTAATATAGGATCCTGCCCATTATGATTGTTAAGTCGTAGCAGTTATAAAATGAGTTGGTCATGTGGCTGAACCAATTTTGTGACTTTATTTTGTGGTGGCCATTAAGTGAACATAATGCTTGTAAAATTAAGGCAGTTAATAGTTTGCTATGCGCATGGTTTTGCCAAAAATTGGATATCCCAGCTTTCAGCAAAACTGTTGTAAAAGATGGTCACGTGACCACAGGACACTGAAAACGGTCGTAAATGTGGCCATGTTGCCGAGCACTCCATCTTTGGTCATGTGACCATGAGTACCTTCAGGGTTCCACATAATTTCCAACATTCATTAAGCAAGGAATACCTGTACTGAAATTATAACTAAATCTTCAGCTATTGCTGAGGCTGTGATTTTCAAAGAGACAATTGTTTTGCTAAAAAAAATGATGGTTATTCACATCTATCTTCTATTTAATTCTGAATAGGGTGAGTCAAATACCTTGTGTTGTTCCTTCATCACCTGTTCAATAAGCTCAGATTTCACTGGAGGTTTCGAATACTGGCCTGAAAGAAGCCCATGTCCCAATTTAGCCCTGTAGCGAAGGGGAAGGGGAAGGGGAAGAAAGAGAGAGCGTACCAAAAGTTGCCCACTAAGTTTTAAAAAGCGAGAAAGAACGGGAAGCAGAAAGAAAGTTTAAATCAGCCATCTGTCAACAGGAATCTAATCTGGAGTCGTCAGATATCCCCAATAAGACTATCCTCAAGTCCCAAAGGTGCTTTTCCAAAGGCAACTGGACTCTCTTTTTTTTTCTTTTGAAAACGTTTTGCTTCTCATCCAAGAAGCTTCTTCAGTTCAGACTGAAAGGCGGGGAATAGAGGGATTTATATTCTTTGCAATCATCTGATCGTTAGCTGTCTGAAGGCTGGTTGTTAGCGCTCTGAGAGTCATTGAGGCCACTTGGGGATTTATCTGTACCTTCAGAGTCACCTGAATCAAAGTGCAAATGGGTGTGGAACCTTCTTGGGACTATTGGAAGGACTGTGTTATAGACAGGAGATAGGTGGTGTCGTATTCCTCCCCCTCTGTTGAGAAATGGCTGCACAGTTGTAACGCAGATGGCCTCTTTGAGCCCCTCTTTCAAACCAGTGGTCCTCTCTGTCTAAAAAGTGGACTTTGCTGTCCTCAAAAGAGCGGCCTTTGTTTTTCAAATATAGATGGACTCCTGAATCTTGTCCTGGTGGGTTTGCTCTCCTATGTTAGGACAGGATGTCTCGTACCAGAATGAGATTCAGCAGTTCAACAACCATGACCTGGATGGCTGAGAATATCCATTGACTATCCACAAAGTAAGCTTTCTTTCACATCCTATAAAGCGGGGGTCCCCCAACCCCTGATCTGCCATCTGGTACTGGGCCACAGCCTGTTGGGAACTAGGCCACATAAGGAGCAGGTGGGTGTGCAAGCACTCAAAACTACATTTGTGCAAATGGTGCGCAAGCAAAACCATCTCCTCTCCCCCTCGCCACTGGTCCACAGAGCGGGAAAGGGTTGGGGACCGCTGCTATAAAGTAACCAGCCACTTACATTTGAGTATTGAAATCTTGTGTTGGGTCCAAAGAAGAGTAGTCAAATATCCTTGGAAGGTTTCCCACATACCTAACGCAAAGAACAGCAAAAGACAAAGGAGAAAATATTGAAAGATTATGAAGCGCTCTGACAAATCAGCCATCAATACACAGATAAACATTAACAACATCTGCAGACTATGCAAAAGAGGCTATTACCCAGCCCAGAAAAGAACAAAAAGACCCAAGCACTTCACTACCAGCAATCAGCATCCAGATCAGCATAGATTAACTCCAAGATTAACATCAGATGAATAAACAATCAAGAAACTGCCAAAGAAGCCAACTTAGAAAACAGTCTAGTCAAAGAATCTCTAAGACCACCCCCACCAACACTGACAGGCAAGCCATTACATTATAAACTGACAGCAAGCAGCACTCCTTAGCAGCACTGATGATGTTACCAAGTTTGGGTAATGAAACGTCTGCAAGAAAACATGCAACCTCAGAGAACATCAAGGACCCCTCATGTTTCTGACCTGTTAAAACTGGGTTTTTACAAAATTAGAAGTGACTTACGCCCTCTGAAATTCAGGAATACTGAAAATGGCTTGCAATATACTGTTGATGTAGCAGCTGTTCCCCAAGTTTTTCATGCCAGTATATCCAGGTCCATACATTGGTTTCAGTTTCATCCCCGACTCTTGAATGACTTCCCATTCAGAAACTCGGGGTTTTATGTCATTATCTTTCAGGCCATTCTCTGTCTGAAAACAAAAAAACAAGGAAGAGGAGGAGGAGGAAGAAGAAGAGGAAGAAGAAGAAGAAGAAGAAGAAGAAGAAGAAGAAGAAGAAGAAGAAGAAGAAGAAGAAGAAGAAGAAGAAGAAGGAGGAGGAGGAGGAAGAAGAAGAAGAAGAAGAAGAGAGAGGAGGAGGAGGAGAGGAGGAGGAGGAGGAGGAGGAGGAGGAGGAGGAGGAGGAGGAGGAGGAGGAGGAGGAGGAGGAGGAGGAGGAAGAAGCTTTTTACCAACTTACAAAGCCAGGATATTTAAAAGAAAAATCATACATCCCATTCATCCCAAAAGGAAACGCCACTCAGCGTAAAAATACCTTATTTTACAATTGCTGAGACACACTGTATACGTGACTATGTCTCCCCCTGCTGAATTATCCAAGTAATTGTAATCAATACATGGATCCCATAGTTAAGTCGCATTTTCGGTCGATCTTACAATATATTATTTATGTCTTTTAGTTTTTGTATAGTTTTTATCATTTTAAGATTGTAAGAGTTATCCTGAGGTTAAATAGGCGGCCAATAAATTTTACAAATAAGTAAATGAATAAATTTAGGACAGCAACTTCATAAAAAGCAAGTCACTTACCACATGCATTTGGAGCATGTCAATTCCAAAATGAGATAAGTGTTTGGCAACATGAGGGTCCACAACAGCCTCCTCTTCCTCAAAGGAATAAACATCTGCAAAAGTAAGAACAAAGGGACAATTCACCAAATGTAATCTATCAATAGCATTTAACCGTTCCATGTGCTACATATCATGGAGGCATGATAACAAAAAATTTCCAACAGAAATTCTCCATTTACTGTGGAAGGAGAAGCAATTTAAGATTCCAAGTCAACTTTCAGCAAATCATAAACACTATGCAATAGTGGCTAAGCTACAGGATAAGGACCTGGCCAATTCAGAGTCAAGCATTTCTTCACCAAAGCTCAAGGTAACTTTGGACCAGTGACTATTCTCAGCTCAACTTGTCCAAAGAAACTTGCCATTAGGGAAGAATTCAGGCGCATGTACACAGGTGGTCCTTGACTTATGACCACAACTGAGCCCAACATTTCCATTGCTAAGCAACACAGTTGTTACATTTTGCCCCATTTTACCACCTTTTTTGCCACAGTTGTTAAGTGAATCACTACAGCAGTTAAGTTGGTAAACAGTTATTAGGTGAATCTGGCTTCCCCATTGACTTTGTTTGTCAGCAGGTTGCAAAAAGTGATCACATACCCCAAGGCACTGCAACCATCATAAATATGAATCAGTTGCCAAGTGTTTGAATTTTGATCATGTGACCATGATCAAACAGTCATTAAATGAATGGTTTTAAGTCCAGGAATACCTGTATACTAACTTGAGTTCCAAGAGAAAAGGTAGGGAGATATAAATCTAATTAAATAAATAAATTATCATGCATTTCATTCATTTATTTATTCATTCAGGCCAGAGAGAGTGTGTCAAGAATGAAACTTTGGCAGCTAAGTGCCTTTTTGTTTCAACTTGCCATTAGAATAAGGGGGGGAGGTGTTGCTTTAGAATGGGTTAGATGGAGAAACGAAACCTCTACAATTCTGCTGAAGACCATGAGAGCCTGAAACCTTTCTAAGGACACCGCAGCAAGTGTGGAGAGGGAGCAGATGGTTCCCATACCAAAGTGAAATTGTTTACATGGACTACGTGAGAGATTGGGGGTTTTGGCTGGGGAAAATATTGTTTAATTCTATGAACTGGTGTCTGGGAACCTCAGAGTTAGTTTTGCTTCAACATTACCATGCAGTGTATTCAATAAACAGTAAGAATTTCAGAAACGGAATGAACCTGGATTTTTATTTGGATTCTCAAACTGGATGTTGACACAGTGAGTTATTGTAATTCAACCCACTTGGAAGTACAGGACTGGCAAAGAATGATTCTAGCCACTGTCTCTAACTTCAGTCAAGCTAGCTAAAGGACTTCTTTGCAGGAGACAGATGTCATAATGCCCCTTGTTTACATTTGTTTAACCCTTTTATATTGCAAGTCACCTTAAATTAAACTGGCACCGGTGAGCTTTACCTCCATATCTGTTTTTTCTCTCAGAGCAAATTATAGAATCTGACTGATGTGGATTTTTTTCTCTTGGGCTCTTAATATTTGCGAATGATCAAATGGAAAATACTATCGCTGTAGGGATAGAGACTCAACTACAACTGGGAATATTGACAAGAAGATCAAGTATAGTAATTACAAATATGACAAGATCTGCTCATCATGAAGATACAACTCGATGATGAATAGTTCATGATTTTTCATTAGGATATTGTTCCAGCAACAACCATAATGTTATAAGCAGCATATCTTAGCAATTCAAAAGAAGAATGGCCTAGATTTTTAGATCTCCTATGAATTTTTAAATTTGTTTCTCTGTTGCTAGAATCCCCTTAAGCCAGTGTTTCTCAACCTTGACAATTTTAAGGCATGTGGACGTCAACTCCCAGAATTCCACAGCCAGCGTTGCTGGCTGTGAAATTCTGGGAGTTGAAGTCCACATGCCTTAAAATTGTCAAGGTTGAGAAACACTGCCTTAAGCTAAGTAGCACAACACAAAACATGTTATTAGTGATAGCATTTCAAATTTGAACTCTTCTATATATTTGAGCCCTTCTATGTATATCTTTATTCATTTGAGCTGTGGTGCTGGAGAAGTCTCCTGTGTATTCTTTGGACAGGAAAGGTGACTAAGAAGAAGCAAGTCCTGGAGCACATAACACCAGACATGTCACTAGAAGGCAAATTCGCGAAACTGTGCCTCATTTACTTTGGCCATGTCATGTGGGGGAAATTCAATGAAGAAAGCAATTATGTTGGGAAGAGTTAGCAGTAGAAGGAAACCAGGCTGTCAAAAAACATGGTGGCTGGACACTATCAAAGCTGAGACCCGCCAAAGCATAGAAAAACTCAAGGAAATAGTGCAAGATTGGGAGATGTGGAGAGACCTGGCCCATAAAACTACCAAGAGTCAGACATCTGTCAGAAATGGTGTAGGGCAGTGATTCTCAACCTTTCTAATGCCAGGACCCCATAATACAGTTCCCCATGTTGTGGTGACCCCCAAGTGGGTGTGGCCACCAATAAGAGGGAGTAGGACAGCTAGGGAAAAGGGAAAAAAATGGCGGACAGCATGGTTTGGTGACCCCCGTGAAATGGTCATTCGACCCCAAATGGGGTCCTGACCCACAGGTTGAGAACCACTGGTGTAGGGACTCCTGTTTGGGCAGGGGGTTGGACTAGATGACCCCAAAGTACCTTCAGACTCTGCTATTCTATTCTATTCTATTCTATTCTATTCTATTCTATTCTATTCTATTCTATTCTATATTCTAAATGAGACACAACTGAATGGATAACATCATCATTATCATGTATTGTACTTTTCAGAAAATATATTGCTTAATGTTGGGGGGGGGGCTCTATTTATTCTTCTGCCAAGCATTTATGAAGCCCAGCATTCTCCCTCCTTGTGTCCACCTAGAATGATGCCGTTGGCATTTATAAATACGACACATGGCCTTTTGCTGGCATTCCAATTTAAGAAAGCCTCTGTTTCCCACTGCGAGTTATTGTTCCCTTCTATAAACATAAGTTCAGAGAGGCCTCATGCTTTTTCAGTGAAGTCACAATGCAGCATGACACCCAGTCAACTTTTCTGCGTCAGTGTGGCTGTAAATGGACCTTGCATGGATATTTTTAAGAGCAATCAATGTCCGGCTAGAGAGAAGCGACAAAGAATTACCCCCAGCAGAATGCCACAGAACCAAAAAACCCTAACAAAGCAATACTGCAAATTGTTCATCTCTACTGAAGTCCCACTGAGGTCAGATTGTTGCCTTGGACTTCATCTAACCCAGTGTTTTTCAACCTTGACGACTTTAAATGTCTGGATTTCAGCTATTAGAATTCCCCAGGCAGCAGCCTGGCTGGGGAATTCTGCAGGTTGAAGTCCACACATCTTAAAAGTTGCTAAAGTTGAGAGAGACCAGTTTGAACACATGATCTCATTCAGCTACAAAACGTCACTCAAAGACCTTGGACTTGATACCGTCTTGTCTTAACCTGGGAGCAAGATGGCTCAGAGGTTAAAGATGCCGAGCTTGTCAGCTGGAAAGCTGACAGTCCAGGTTTAAGACTCGAGTACCGTATGACAGGGTGAGCTCCTGTTCTTGCTCCAGCTCCTGCCAGCCTTGCAGTTCAAAGCAAGTAGATAAATAAGTACTACTGCAGTGGGAAAGTAACAGCATTCCATGTGCCTCAGCAAATAGTCCTGCTGGCCACATGACCATGGAAATGTCTTTGGATAATGCTGGCTCCCTCGATTAAGAATCGGAGATGAATATCACCCCCTAGATCAGGGGCCTGCAACCTTGACAACTTTGTGGACTTCAGCTCCCAGAATTCCTCAGCCAGCTAGGCTGAAGTCCACAAGTCTTAAAGTTGTCAATGTTGCAGGCCCCTGCCCTAGATATTCAGACTTGACTGGAGAGAGGGAACTTTTACCTTTATCTTTTGGCTTAACCTACCTTACAGGGCTTCTCTGGAAAAGGAAAAAAGGATACGCTGTTTGAACTCTTTTAAGGAAGAGCTTAAGAAAGTTTAATGAATAGAATTTATCTATGTTTGCCTTTTCAGAATACATTTTAATTCATAAATATACCTTAGCTCAGTTTTTTCTGTTTTTAAAATACTGTTCAAGTAGGCAGTAAAGGAAGCCAAAGAAAGTGTCAGGCTACCGACAAATCTACACAGAGTCGCACATGATACTACATAAAATATATGCGAACATTAAAATGTACCCCATATTGTCACATCAGTTTTGAAAAGCTGGGGTTGGATTTTTTTTTGGGGGGGGAGCATCTAATTAATCCCAAAGCTGTTGGAAGCATAAATTAAAACTAGCAAAATGCTAGTTACATCTCCAACAATTTTGTTTGCTTATTCATTTTCTATGACCGTGAATCTTTCCAAGAAATTCTGGGTGGTGAACAAGACAGAAACAAAGAACTTCATTAAACCAAAGCAGGGGGAAAGAAACAAAAAAAGCCCTATAAAGACTCAATAAAACCAGAAATCATATACAGTCTTGTTGACGCCTCCCCCTATTGACATCCTAAGTCCAATGCCTGAGGGAAAAGTCAGGTCTTCCTGGTCTTGTGAAAGGACAACAGAGCAAAGGCCACTCACATTTCAGAAGGAACCCTGGTGTACAAACAGTCCCCAACTTAAAAACACAATTGAGCCCAAAATTTCTGTCGTTAAGTGAGACATTCATTAAGCGGGTTTTGCCCCCAGTTTACGACTTTCCCTGCCACAACTGTTAAGTGAATCACTGCCATTGATAAGTTAGTAACACGGTTATTAAGTGAATCTGGCTTCCCCATTGACTTTGCACGTCAGAAGGTCACAAAAGGGGATCACGCGACCCGGGACACTGCAACCGTCATACATACGAGCCAGTTGTCACACATCTGAATGCAAATCACATGTCCATGGGGATGCTGCAATGGTCATAAGTGTGAAAAATGTTCATGTCACTTTTTTCAGTGCTGTTATAACTTCGCACGATCACTAAACAAACTGTTGTAAGTCAAGGACTACCTGTATGTTTTCTGCCTGGGTAGGATATGAATCCAGTTCTGATGGAAGAAGCTTCTTAGATGAGAAACGAAACGTCTTCAGGGTAAAACAAAGTCCAGTTGCCTTTTGAAAAAGCACCTTTAGGACACTGGTAACTCTACCTCTACAGTGCTACCGTGTTTCCTCAAAAATAAGACCCGGTCTTATTTATTTTATTTTATTTTTTGCCTCCAAAAGAGGCACAAGATCTTATTTTGTGTGTGTGGGGGGGGTCTTTTCCACTCACCTCCGGCATCAACAGCCCTACCCAGTCAGCCCACTTCTTCTGCGGCGTCCCCCAGCCTGCATTTCGCAGTCAGAGGCCTTTCCAGAAAGCCTCTGACTGCGAAATGCAGACCGGGAGAAGCCGCAGAAGAAATAGGCCAGCGAGGAGAGGCAGGCTACAACAGAAAGTGGGTGCAGGGCGCACGGGGCAGCTCCACCCGCCCACCCCCACCCTAGCTTGATTTTTAGGCATGCGCCTTGCCCCAAAACTAGGGCTTATTTTTGGGGCAGGGCTTATATTAGGCCTACCCCCAAAAATCAAGCTAGGCTTATTTTCAGGGTAGGTCTTACTTTCGGGGAAACCTGGTAGTGAAAAACAACGTATAGAGATCAAAAGGCTGCTGATGATCATCAGCACAAGCTTTCACTAACCTGCACCATCAGGAGTAATTGTTCCAAGCTTCACCGCCAAGGGATAACCCATCTCCTTGTAATGTTCGAGCGCATGTCCGTTTCCTCCACTGCCATCAAAAAACCATTTGCCACAAAGTATTGATCCATCAGTGAGGTTTAGCCAAAGATTCTCCCGTAAGTCACACTTGGAGCACTTCCAGCCACTGCAAAACAAATTGCCAGAGTTAAACAGGCAGCATGAAGCTGATTTTTGCTTTTGAGCTACCCGGAATTGGATTAGCAAAAGATCACCTCATTTATTTATTATTTTAGGAAATCCATCCCACCAATCTTTCAAAACTGTACCTCTCTATTGTAAGTTATTTAAGTGGGGCTTAAGGCATTTTTTGTCTTAAGCCAAAATTAATGTAAAAAAGATGTTGAGACTCTAGAAAGAGTGCAGAGAAGAGCAACAAAGATGATTAGGGGACTGGAGGCTAAACCATATAAAGAACAGTTGCTGGAATTGGGTATGTCTAGTTTAATGAAGAGAAGGACTAAGGGGGGACATGATAGCAGTGTTCCAATCAATATCTCAGGGGCTGCCACAAAGAAAAGGAAGTCAAGTTATTCTCCAAAGCAACTGAGGGCAGGACAAGAAGCAATGAATGGAAACTAATCAAGGAGAGAAGCAACCTAGAACTTAGAAGAAATTCCCTGACAGAACAATTAATCAGTGGAACAACTTGCCTCCGGAAGTTTTGAATGTTCCAACACTGGAAGTTTTGAAGAAGAGATTGGACAGCCATTTGTCTGAAATGGTATAAAGTTTCCTGCCTGTGCAGGGGATTGGACTAGAAGACCTTCAAGGTCCCTTCCAAATCTGCTATTCTATTCTATTCTATTCTATTCTATTCTAGTCTAGTCTACTCTACTCTACTCTACTCTACTCTACTCTACTCTACTCTACTCTACTCTATTCTGTCAGTTTGGTCTAGTGATTAAGGTATCAAGCTAGAAACCAGGAGACCATGGGTTCAAATCTTGTCCTAGCCATGAAAGCCTTAACCCAGTGGTTCTCAACCTTTCTAATGCCGCGGCCCCATAATACAGTTCCCCATGTTGTGGTGACCCCCAACCACTTATACATCACTGGGTGCCAGGGGCGTGGCCAAAGAAAAGGGGGAAAAAATGGCGGACAGCCTTGTTTGGCAACCCCTGTGAAATGGTCATTCGACCCCAAATGGGGTCCCGACCCACAGGTTGAGAACCACTGGCCTTAACCTTAGCCAACTGTGTGTGACTTTGGGCCAGTTACTCTGTCTCAATCCAACTCATCTCACAGGATTGTTGTTGAGGGGAAAATAGGAGGAGGAGAGAGTATTGGGTATGTTCCTTTGAGTTATTTGTAAAAATAATAAAGGCAGGATACAAATAAATACATACATATTTTTAATCTACATATCACAAGTGAGGTGGGAGGAGGATCAGAAAGGAGAGAAAAGGGGAAATAATTGTGAACCAGATGTCCTTTCCTGAAGGATTCTTACCAATATGGAAATTAAAGCAAAGAACTACAGCTTACTGATGAATAAAATTATGATCTATTTGACATTATATCTTTTTTAAAAAAAAACATATAATGGACTCTAACGTACTTCAGAATCCCTGAATTAACTTTCAGGTACTTTGCACCAGGAAATATTGCATTAATGCTGTAAATGTTTCTAAAGAAATGTAAAAAACTGCATACAGCCATTTTAATAGTCACTAGGCTGTTCAATGGCTGGCAGCCACAAGGTTAGAAAATGAGTGAAACAGAAAGTAAGATTAGTTTTAAACAAAGTTTAAGCCAGATATTTATGATACAAAAGAGGAAAAAAAATCTTTGCCAGTAGCCATGAACTGGCAGATCTTACCCAAGACCTTGGCTTCCCTAAATTAAGTACAGGAAAATCTCACCGGATATTGTTTTATTCCACTTCCTTCCAGCAAAGCTATTGGTCAGATATGGAAAAACCTGTAGAACCGTAATATCTGAAGGGCTACAAATATCTCAGCTTTGCTCTCAGCAATGCTTCAATATGTGTTTGAAGAATTAGGTCATATGGAATTTTCTGCCTTATTCTCATATTACAACTCCATCCCGCTTCAATTAACTGTAGATGCCCATAGCAGTCAAAGGAAGGAAAGAAATGTCTTCAGGATACCCAAAGTCACAACCAGAATGAATCTGCATCAGTTTGGTTGAACCTGAACATGCCAACATTGCATTATGATATACAGGCAGTCCTCAACTTACAACAACTGAGCCCAAAATTTCTGTTGCTCAATGGCTAAGTGAAATTTGCTCCATTTTACGACCTTTCTTGCCACAGTTATTAAGTATATCACTGCAGTGGTTAAGTTAGTAACACAGTTGTTAAATGAGTCTGATTTCCCCATTGGCTTTGCTTATCAGGAGGTCACAAAAGGGGATCACATGACCCCGGGACACTGCGACCATCATAAAAAAAAAGAGTCAGTTGCCAAGCGTCTGAATTTTGATCATGTGGCCATGGGGATGCTGCAACGGTTGTTAAGTGTGAAAAATGATCATGTCCCTTTTTTCAGTTCCGTTGTAACTTTGAACGGTCACTAAACAAACTGTTGTAAGTTGAGAACTGTCTGTAATGAGTTGATTTAGGATTGCTTCTTTATACTAAATACAGATTTATTTATCTATTTAAAGAAAAAGGAACATATTTCGTCCCTCAGCCATCATGAATCAGAGTCCCAATATACAGAAACAAAATCATAATGAGAGTTATCATCCCTCTCCCAATCCCATTATCAATTCAGAAAATTCTGAACTGACAGCTGTGTATTCTCTATCTAGGCCAGGAGCCTTTTAGAATATCACCAGAACAGTTTCCTTTTCATTACCGTTGGGTCATCGTTTCAGAGATATTTCCTTACCTATAGATCAGTGGTTCTCAACCTGTGGGTCGGGACCCCATTTGGGGTCGAACGACCATTTCACGGCGGTCACCAAACAAGGCTGTCCGCCATTTTTTTCCCCTTTTCTTTGGCCACGCCCCTGGCACCCAGTGATGTATAAGCGGTTGGGGGTCACCACAACATGGGGAACTATATTATGGGGTCACGGCATTAGAAAGGTTGAGAACTACTGCTATAGATAAACAAACATTTCTTTCTTTCTTTCTTTCCTTTCTTCCTTCCTTCCTTCCTTCCTTCCCTTAATAATTCGTTTCTTTGTGTATAAAACACAACAATCTCACCTTGGTGGAATCCTGACCCCGTTGTCCATTTGCACCAGAGTGTTGGCATGTTTGGAGATTTGCAGCTCTTCTTCCCATGAGTCTGGGTCTTGCTTTCTGTAGGGAGATTTCGAACTGAGGACTGCATCACAAGCTATTGTCACCTGGAGTGGAGGGAAGATTCAGCTGAACATCAAAGGCAGGCAGAATGATCATTTGGTTTGTCCTGGTCCTTTTGTTGTTGTTTGTTGTTGGCTTGTAACCAAGAACACTAACAATAGTAACAATTTTCAGGTAGTCCCCTGGAGCAGGGCTTTTCAACCAGTGATATGGATACCACCTGTGGTACATTGGCACCTGGCAGGTGGTACGCGACCATCCTAGAAAAGTGGTAGCGGGGAAGGGGAATGAGCTGAACCGGTGGCAGCACCGCACAAGCCTGAGCAAGAGATGGCTGGAGCTGCAGGGCTGTCAGGGCTCAGCGGAAGCGCCAGGATCAGCGCCAGGCTCCAGCTGGAGCTCAGCACTGATCCTGGTGCTTCTGCTGAGCCCAGAAGAAGCGCCGATCAGCTGGAATGTTGCAGCCTCTCCAGGGTCTTGTGATTTACATTCAGATGCTTGGCAACTGATTCATATTTATGACGGTCACAGTGTCCCAGGGTCATGTGAAGTGACCAAAACCTGCTGCAACCACCCAGCAGACAGGGGGAATAAAAACCAAACACCCCCACCCCACCCCTGCTGCAAATCCTCAACAGAAATGCTCACAACAATGAAAACCTCAGACAGGAGGAAGAGCGCCACCGGGTGGGCAGGCAGGTGTCTTGCTCGGCTGTGGCTTGGGGGGCACTTTTTTCAGTGCCATTGTAACTTCGAACAGTCACTAAGCGAATTGTTGTAAGTCGAGGACTGCCTATCACTTTTTTCCTTTTTTTTTTTTTTGGTCATCAAGTTTCTGACACCTTGCTAGGCGACTGGTGGTACTTGGATGTTGCCATATCCTAAAAGTGGTACAATGGGTGAAAAGGTCGAAAAGCCCTGCCCTGGAGGACCTATTGTTACCCTCACATAATCCCAGTAATCCTTTCATTTGTGATATTACTCTGACTGCATCCAAAAACTGCAAATTAATAGTGGAACTATGGTTGAGAAACACCGATTTGCTTAAAGTTATCTGGCAAATTCAAAAGAGAGGTATGAATTGACATCAGTGAATCTGTCTTTCACAATACACACATGGCTGTCTGAGGAATTCTGGGAGTTGAAGTCCACATATCTTCAAGCTGCCAAGGCTGAGAAACACTGTTTTAGATAGAAGGTGAAAAAGGTGGAACAGAATTTGCAAGGATTTGCAAGCACCTGCCTAAATAGGAAAATCAGTTAAATGTCATTGCCTTTCTCTTCCTATGCTGAAATGACAAAAACCTGATATGCAACCAAACAGAAACTATGGCTGGGTTCATACAAAATTTAGTTGAGATCATGAAAATAAATTCCTGTGCTCTCAGAAATACTCCCTAGACATCTTAAACTGTAAGCATTTGCACACATTGCCTTGTTGACCTTTGAGGCTAACTAAGAATTCTTAGAGATAGCAACATAAACATATACATGGCTTGGTACCCACATATGTGGCTTAGACCAGTGGTTCTCAACCTTTTTAATGCCGTGACCCCCAACTGGTCGTAAGTCGAGGACTACGCAACCAGTCGTAAGTCGAGGACTACTCAACTGGTGCAGCACCGTTTGCAGAATGGGACTTTTGGCGGGCTCAGCAGGGCAGAGACAGCCTGGACAATTCCTATTGGCTTTTGAAAGCCAATAATATTAGACTCTATTCAAGAAGTCTATTCTATTGGCTTTCAAAAGCCAATAGAATAAAAGGGAGTAGCACAGCTAAGGAAAAGGGGGAAAAAATGGCGGACTGCGTTGTTTGGCGATCCCCGTGAAATGGTTGTTCGACCCCAAATGGGGTCCCGACCCACAGGTTGAGAACCACTGACTTAGACTATCCAGTATGTCCTTCCCAGAAGAGCCTTGGGTGAAATAACAGAAATGGAGGCCAGGAGGTGCTATTTCTCAATTTCTGCTCTAATGTTGTGGAATACAGGTAGTCCTTGACTTATGATCACAATTGAGCCCATAACTTCTGTTGCTAAGTGGGACAGTTGTTAAGCGAGTTTTGCCCATTTTACGACCTTTCTTGCCATACTTGTTAAGTGAATCACTGTAGTTGTTATTAACTAACAACTGTCATAAATATGAGTCAGTTGCGAAGTGTCCAAATTTTGATAATGTCACCATGGGGATGCTGCAACAATCATAAGTATGAAAAAAAAAACCAGTCATAAGTCGTTTTTTTTTCAGTGCCGTTGTAACTTTGAATGGTCACTAAACAAATTGCTTGAAGTTGAGGACTACCTGTACCTTCCCCTTAGAAGTAAGACTTGCTCCATCCTTTCTGATCTTCTGGAAGCTACCGAAGAAAACTTTCCACAGAGCATTTGGTGGAAAATTTTGCCCTCACTAATTTTAATTTATTTTGCTTTAAATTACTTTTATTGATTCATTGGCCAGTGTTATTTCATTTGATTTGCTTATGAAGTCTTTTATCTATTTCTCATCACTATTTTTATGATTTATTCTTGTATTGTTGCCACTTTGATTAGAATAGAATTGAGCTAGAAGGGATATTGGAGGTCTCCTGGTCCAGCCCCCTGCTCCAGCAAGAGAACCTATACCATTTCAGACAAGTGACTGTCCAGTCTCTTAAAAAATCTCCAGTGATGGAGCGCCCACGATTTCTGAAGGCAAGCTGTTCCACTAGTTAATTGTCCTCACTGTTAGGAAGTTTCTCCTTAATTCCAGGTTGCTTCTCTCTTTGATCAGTTTCCAATCACTGTTTCTTGTCCTGCCCTCTGGTGCTTTGGTGAATAACGTGACCCCCTCTTCTTTGTGGCAGCCCCTCAAATAATGGAACCCTGCTATCATGTCACCCCTGTTTCTTCTTTTTAGACTAGCCAAGCTCAAGTCCTTCATATGTTTGTTTTAATTTTAATTATATTTATTATGGACTGGTAATAATCAGTTGCTGATAATCAGTTTTTAATCCACTTTGGTTTGTATTAATAAAATGGTATGCAGATAGAATAAATGGATGTATTTTTTTTTAAATCCCAGAATCTTGTAGTTGACCATCTTTGCATGACATAATACACTTTTGGCAAGTATAATAATTTGTGTCGGCAGTAACAAGTCTATACAGGTTTTCCTGTATGTTGAAAGAGTCAGTTGACTTCCTTAAATTTCTCTTTTTGGCTATCCCATTCTCTCATTCACTCACCAGTGCTGGCAGTTCTTCTATATTGGGTAAAGGAATTTCATAGTGGTCTGGAAATATGACAAGTTTAGCTTCATCCTCATACTCATAATCATCATTATTTAAATCACCGTTAGATTCAAGATCTGTCAAGAGAGAGAAAAAGATAAAACATTGTTGGAGAGAAAAAAACAATATATTAACTAAATTAAGGCTGCTCAAAGAGATGTGTCCTGAAACAAATTGCTAAAGGCATGTTGTAATGATAGAATTTTTTTCATCGACATCTGAAACACTCATTTATGGGCACAGAGGTGAAGTGAGGAAACACTGCAACAAAGACTATATGTTCATCTGCAGCAAACACGTATGCTCAGATCCTTCTAACCATCTCATCCGAGCTTTACCTGTGTTTAGCTCTGGCTTAACGACAACCTGTTGCTTCTCACTGTTCCTCAACAATAAGGCCCATTTCACATGCAAAGCATATACTTATCTGAGATTATTGTTATTGCCTGTTAATTTGGCTCTTTTTCCAGAAGAAAATTAAGTTCCACAGCACTTTTTCTAGAACGGCTTCCTATTAGCGGAAAATTCTACCTCCAGAATCTATGGAGATGCTCAATCATCCAGCACATGGTTGTTTCAAAGGTGCTTTTTTCCAAAAGGCAACTGGGCTTTGTTGTTGTTTTTATTGAAAAAGTTTCACTTCTCATCCAAGAAGCTTCTTCTGAAGAACCTTCTTGAATAAGAAAAGTTCCCCCCCCCTCAAAAAAAAAACCAACCAAGAAAGTCCAGTTGCCTTTTGGAAAAAGCATCTTTGAGTTCTACCTCCAGTCTCAGGAAATCTCATCTCTATCCAGAAGATGAGGATACATATATAACGTTAGGAGTTATAATGCCTTGGCTTCTTTTCTTGTGGAACAGAGGATCAGTTTTGTTGTTCAGCTGGCAAACAAAGCTAATATGAGGAAAAAAGGAAGGACAAGGATGGACAAATGTTTTGATGCCCGCTATCATTGGGTGGCTAAAAGAAATACTGGCCAAGGAAGGAAGGGAAAGTGAGGTCAGCTGCTGGATATTTAAAAGCCGTGTGAAAATAACCATCACGGCAAGTGGAGGGGTGAGTATCTAAAATGACATTTGGGTTGAAGAAACCTCTAAAAGGCGCACGGTACATTTTGTCCCCATTAGAGACCCATTAGAGCAGCAGGATGGTGGGACAGGTGGCATTTTTCAGTCAACCCAGGACAACTTGGCAAAAGGGGAAGGTGCCTCCTATGAGAAAGAAGGTGGACCCCCATCTCCACCCAAGTGACAGGGACAAGATGTAGAAGAGTGGTGACTTTGTCAGAAGCATGCAAGTACTGTTACATAAGGACCGAAGGCTGAAACATCCTTTAAGTTCTGGAAAACGTAAGTTCAGAAGCAGACCAGGCAGACACCTGAATGATTCACTAAGGTGTAAGAAGGAGAGGAGATAATAGCACAATCAGACTTGAAGTATTAATCCGAAACACAATAGCATTACTTTTTTCATATTGTAACATAAGTCTATGCAATCACATGTTTTTCCAATATTATTAGGAAGAGTTCTTGAAGCATATCTTGTCACTTAACTGGGATTTCTTCTGGATCTTCAGACCTTTTCCATAAAGAGAGACAAGGATGCCCAAAGTAAACATCTAGAAGTTGTTATATTACAACCTTAGCTAACGAAGCTCGGTGAAAGGAGTTGTAATCTAGCAACATCTGATGAGTCATTCATTATCCAATTAGAAAGGATTAATTATTTAATTCAATAACACTGGGTTCTCTTGACTAGAAATCCCCTTCTCCATCTTAACAGAATAACAGAGTTGGAAGGGACCTTGAAGGTCTTCTAGTGCAAACCCCTGTTCAAGCAGGAGACACTACACCATTTCAGACAAATGGCTGTCCAATCTCTTCTTTAAAACCATCAGTATTGGAGAATTCACAACTTCTGGAGGCAAGCTGTTCCACTGATTAATTGTTCTGTCAGAAAATGTCTCCTTGGTTCTAGGTTGGTTCCCTCCTTCATTAGTTTCCATTCATTGCTTCTTGTGGTGCTTTGGACAATAGGTTGGCCCCCTCTTCTTTGTGGCAGCCCCTCAAATATTGGAACACTGCTATCATGTCACCCCTAGTCTTTCTTTTAATTAAAGTAGACATACCCAATTCCTACAACTGTTCTTCATATGTTTTAGTCTTCTCCCCATTTGTGATGAAACAGTAGAAGTAGCTACATGTATATATGTATACGTCCATGTTATATATAGAAATAACTAATTAGTTCTCCAGAAGACTTTACACTTGTATGACCCAGAAGTTATTTTGAATAAAGGCTTCTTTTCCAAAATTGGCAAGCTCCTCAAAACGCTTGCAGATCATCATAACAGCCCTGTTACATTTCTCCTTCCGTAGATGTTCCACTGCCATCAGCTAATTCCATTAAAAGGAATTTAGAAGTGCCAAAAAGAAAAGAATATTTGTAGCTCAGAATTAAACTGTCAAGTCCTTGGTGCTCTCTGAGTTTGGCTGTTAGCTTTCAATTGTTTCATTACCCAACTAAGTACCATCATCAGACACAGGTCAGGTAATGAAACTTCTGTAAGCCAATGTCTGTGGATATTGTCAATTATCCAGATTGTGGTTGTCCCAAAGTTGTTTTTCCAAAAGGCAACTGGACTTTCTTGGTTTTTTCCTTGAACACATTTCGCTTCTCATCCAAGAAGCTTCTTCAGTTCTGAACTGAAGAAGCTTCTTGGATGAGAAGCAAAACATTTTCAAGGGGGAAAAAAAATCAAGAAAGTCCAGTTGCCTTTTGGAAAAGTAGCTTTGGGACATCAGTAAGCCAAGCTCAGAGAGCATCAAGGACTCCACAGATTTAGAAGTGCTAATATCAAGAGCAGAGCCCATTTTCCCTTCTAAGGGGCTGAAAGCTCTCCAAAGCTGAATCAGAATTCACAATTAAAACTGGCGTTGTCATCAAGAGAGGCGCCACCAAACAGCACAACAGGCCACAGCAGGCAAAGGAAAATAAGGCATGTTGTCAGGCCATAAAGAGTGAGGTGAGGCAGGGGCCATGCACAGGAGAGGGGATGAAGAAGCTGTTATTTTGGGGCAAGCTCTCAGTGTGAGATTTCCTTCGTCTACCATCTGGTCAAGTTGAACAAGCGTCACTCCTGGCGTTGGACGATGACAAACGTTCATCGCCAGCTGACTGAAAACAGCAGCTGCACTTCGGCTTCAGGCAGACAGCCAAAACCATGAAGTTAGCAGGCCAGAGGGGGAAAGGAAAAGAAAGGCTGTGCAAATCCCCAGATCAGGTTTCAATGTTGCTAACTGAATGTGCTAATTATAGCAAAATTATTAGATCCCAAATTGGGCTGCCAAACAAGAGGCAGCCCTGTTGCATTCAAGGAAGGGAGAAAAAGGAAGGTACGTTCTTACATAGAAAAACACAAACACAAAGAACCCCCAAGTTATAAATCCTCCCATTTTCACCACTTCCATCTTATTTACAGGCGGTCCTTGACTTATAACCATTTGTTTAGTGACCATTCGAAGTTACCATGGCACTAAAAAAAATGACTTATGACCGTTTTTCACACTTACAACTATTGCAACATTCCCCATGGTCACGGGATCAAAATTCAGACATTTGGCAACTGACTCTTATTTACGACGGTTGCAGTGACCCGGGGTCATGTGATCACCTTTTGGGAACTATAATAAATATCAATCAACTTTCCTCTTTGGGGATACAATAATCCCTTGATTAAGAGAAAAGAGTGTCTATTAAATGAGAGTGTCTGTTAAGTCCAGATGAGATTTTATGTATGCACATTATATACATTAATTGCATGTGTAAATGCAATAAGCGTAGAAGCATATAAAATGCAGAAAAATAATAAAATATAAAATGCAGAAGCATATAAAATGCAGAAAAGTAACCTGCCAAACAGAGATCTGTTACGTCATAATTGTGTCATAACTCTTGATATATCAGAAGTCTACATTTAACTGTTCCTTGAAAGTACTATCCTATTCTTTGGATTTGTTTCAGTTACCAAAAAAAAGTCATCTTCATTTAATTTTTGAGATGTACTGCACCTATCTAAAACAGAAAGTTATTTACCTTTGAAATTAAAAAAAAGTTATGTTAATTGATTTGCAGGATGCTAAATCACTGGGGGAAAATATGAATTTGCCAAGAAATATGCTAAAACACATTATGTTCAGAAAGGCCTTTTTAAAAAAAATACATTCTCTGCTTGTTTATGCATTTCCATATTTTCTTAGCAGTTCAGGCTGAATTCAGCCCCAAAATGCAAATCTGGTAGCTAAATAGCCAAAATGTAATCAAGTGACTATGGAGAGCAGAGTAGCCATTTCTATCTTCAAACCTAGGCTGTAAGTAGCCCTTGCTAGAACTGGTGTAACTTTCAATAGTTGCTACGTGAATAGTTGTAAGTCGAGGATTACCTGTATAGCATCCACCCACAGTTTTTTTTTTTATGAATGCTTACTTGGAACCAACTAGGACAGACTTTTTGGAGAGGTGTGGATGCATCTATCTACAGCAGAGTTCCCCAACCTTTCCAAGTTGGTGGCCCAGACCGGGAGGGGGGGGGAAAGAGGTTTTGTGGGAGGCTCAAGCATGTGTGCACACACATGCGAGTACATGAGCACCTGTTGCTTGTGCGAGTGGGGCCGAGAGCAACTGTGACATGCGAGTGAGGCCCCCAAGCGCTTGCGTGAGTGAGGCTCCGAGCACTTGGGTGAGTGAGACTCCAAGCGCCTATGACACTCACACAAGTGAGGTGCCAAGTGGTGACATGAGGCCCTGAGCGTTCACGCAAGCGAGGCCCTGAGTGCTTGCGACCCTCACAGGAGTGGGGCCCTGAGCGCCCGCAATATTGTGTGACTAGGGCATGTGCGCACCAGCCAGCCACTCACATGGCCTGGTTGCGAATAGGCCACAGACCGGTAATGGGCCACGGGCCACAGGTTGGGATCCCTAATCTACAGCGTTAAGTCACACTACAGAATGAATCCAACTTTTATAGAAGGGACCATGAATAATAGATGCAGCCTAAGATCATTAGGTGCCTACTTGGGA